CGCGTACAGCACGTCATCCAAGCTTAAGTCCGTCCAACCTGCATTTGCTGAGAGATCGCTTCTCGGTCGGACAGGATTTCCGCAAGAGTCCTCGTACCCAGAATATTGCGCAGCGTCGTCTGCGCCAGAAGCTTCGTGCTATGTGAGGCGTCCTCAACGTTTACCACCGACACGACGGCGTTTGATATCCGCGAGTACACTACAGCGTCTACCGCCACCGTCACCGAGTCCTTCGACAGGATCTTAAAAAGTGCATTATAAAAATTGTCCGTTTCAACAGAGCATCGAAACGTGTGCAGTATGCAGTGAAACCTCCTGTTATAGTCTTTCCCGAATAAGGATAATTCTCTAATGGTCCCGCCTGAGGCTCTATGACAATACAGTATCGATTCTCAGTTCTCTATTCTAGACGTTATACGATTAAATTCAAGACGTCTGAAAACCATTCTGCAAAAGTCTCAGATATTTCATGAGTCTCGCTAAGTATCTTCCTCACCGTACAAAGTTGATACACCTAGGTGAGAAGTGGGCTATTATGCTTAAAAATTTAGGTTATTCTCAGGGGACTCCTCTATCACTTGTCTTCATATTTTTCAGCTCGTTTTATGCTCTATCTTAGTGCTTTGGACACGCCCACGATACTGCTATTGTACCTCTCCATAACGCGAAGGCGAAAAGCACTTCTGCCAACAAAAAACTGGCTTCGACGATGATTTCTCAATTAAAAATGCCCTTCCATCGCCTAAATGTACGGAAAACCTTCGAGCTGATTTCATATCCACGAAAGCAAACTCATGGCGAAGTCACCGGCAAGACGTACGATGGGCACACCGCATAGCAAATCACTCAATTATACATCAGACTTGATCGATGCGCCTCGGAACTCAGAGAAGAAACAAAATTCAATCAAATATCAACAAAGCAATTATCAATGCTACAGTGGTGACACTGAGTAGTCGTGACAAAGACTACGGTTCTTGGGGGAGGGGGGGGACAATTTAAGTGTGAAAACACTTCACTGTCAGAGTTTCTCGGTCAGTGATAGAAAACCTGTTTATATGCATGTTTATCGCCACAAGGTACCGGCTGCGCTTGCAAAACTGTAAAAAAGCAAAAAATATAGTCCCGGAACATATGGAGTAAATGATCTGCATAAGCAGAGACGATAAGAAAGGTTCAGCCCAAGCGGAAG